CGCAGGTGGGCCTGGAGGATCCGGCAGTCCCGGACGTGGCGGTCGCGGTCGAGGACGAGGGCCTCGAGGACGCCCTGCTGCTGGCCCAGCCGCCGCTCCGCCGCGGCGACGCCGCGCTGGATCTCGCGCAGCTGCCCGTCCCGCGCCTGGGCCTCCCCGAGCACCAGGGCGGTCTGCAGGACGTAGCGCTTGGCCTTCCCCTCGTAGCCCTCGCACTCGCGCGAGACGTGGTAGACCGTCGCCGTCTGGGCCCGCGCGAAGCCCTCGTAGGCGGCCAGCTCGTGCTCGGCGTGGTTCAGCTGGCGGGCCTTCTCCGCCAGCCAGAGCGCGTTCCGGCTGCGCTGCTGCTCCCCGGAGAGGTGGCGGGCGTGCAGGAGGCCCTGCTCCCGGTGCAGCGAGTCCAGGGCCTTCTCCGCCATCACCACCTCCACCCGCTGCTTCGCCATCGCCTCCTCGTCGCGGTGGAGCTGGTCGAGGAGGGCCGCGCGAAGCTGCGCCGCCTCGCCGCCGCGCCGGGACGCGACCCCGTTCCGCAGCCGAAGCGCGGCGAGGAGTTTGGCCTCCTTCGCGTGGTGTTTGTGCACCGCGACGACGCTGGCCTGGGCGGTCCGCAGCTCCGCCATCGCGTCGCGGATGCTCTTCTGCAGGGCGTCGTTCTCCTCATTGCACTCCTGCAGGGCGGCGTTCGCGGTCTGGAGGTTGCGGCAGAGGGCGTGGTAGGCCTCCGCGAGCTGATCGCGCTCCTCGAGGGTCTTCCGGATCCCGCCTTGGTGCGCCTCGAGGTCCTCGCGGAGCTGGTCAAGCCGGGTCTGGCGGCTCAGGATCAGGAGGTTGCGCTTCGTGAGGTCCTCCCGCAGGACGCGCAGCTCCGCCTCTTTCGCCTGCTTCTGGCGTAGGATGGTGTTGGTTTCGTCCTGCTTGGCCTCGATCGCGTCGCAGACCCGCCGCAGCTCCGTATCAAAGACGGAGTTCTGCTCATAAAGCTTTTGGAGACCCCGTTGGAGGGTGTTGATTTCAAGCTGAATGGAGCCTATTAACCCTTCTTGGGTTTCTTTTTCTTTGGTCACCATGTCATGCACGCGGAGGAGGTTTTTCAGCGCGACCTCCTGAACCACCACCTCAACCGGCTCGGCTACCGTGAGCTCTAAATCGGTAACTTCTTTTTTCAACTGCGCGATCTTTTCGCGTAGCGTGCTCTCCTTTTCTTTGACTTGGGAAGCTTTCCGTCGGCTGTGCTCGATCTCATCTTGCATATCCGCTATTGTCTGCTTATCGCCCTGAGTAAGATTTTCCGCCGCTTGGGCTTTGTTAATACAGGAAAGGATGTCGGAGTGAAGGTCAAGACATTTTCGTATCAGCCGATTCTCCCCTTCGTGACTTTTTAGGAAAGAATGATGTAGTGAGGCGTACTCGGAGCGGAAACCTTCCAAGACGTCGTTGTTTTCTAAAGTCATGAGAACCTCCTGAAACTGCTGCTCGTAATCATCGAAGTTCGCGGCATCGCGGCGGATGATTTTAAAAGTCGCATTTTCATCCTCGGTAAACGCTGAGCTGGTGTATTCGTTGTTTAAGAGATCGGTATTGCTGTTCGACTCATTCGGAGCACCGGTGTTAGCAGAGACAAGGCTAATCATATGAGAGGAGGTAGCGGACCCATCATTTGTTGCCATTGTCTTCCTTTTTTTTCCTCCAGAGCGATAAATCCTTCAGAACTAATTTCTTCACTACCCCCTATCAGAAAGATAATCACGAAGAAAAAAGATTGTTTGTATTGAAAAAACAATTACAATGTGAAAAGCAACGAAGTGATATGTTTAGGAATTAGGGAGGGGAGAAAAGATGATAAAAAAAGACAATAGTAATAATACCGCTCTTGGGGATATTTTGACTGCATGCATATCGTACTGATCTATCCCTTACTGCTCAACAGGATATAAATAGGCAGTTATCTACAAGAGTCAATATATAATGGACACAGGCGGGAAAAAATGATCCTTTTTCGCTGCTGGACTTTGATTTACACATGCGAGGATATGTTATCCTATAAAAGAAAATTCATCCAGTATTTTTTTCATACTGATCACCATAATAATACATAAAACAAGTCCAATATATATCCAATTTCATTTTTTTTTAATCGCTGTCTTTACCATCCAATTCATTCCAACACTGTGGGGACCGCCCGCAGCCATTCTCTCACGCGCACCACATCTTCCTGCAATTCCTCTGGCCAGTTATACACCAAAAGCAGCAGCGCGAGCTCAGCCACAGGGACGTTATTCACGGGCTCCTTTTCTACACTTTCATTATTTTTATCCGAAGAATCCACCTCCGGCGGTGGCGCGATGGAAGGAACGAGGTTGAGCTTCTGGGAGTGCGCTATAAGCGCGGCTTCCAGCTCCGCGCGGCGCATATTCGCCTCCTTCAGCTGCTCCTGCAGCGCTACTATCTCTTTTGCTATTGTCGTCGTATTCGTCTTACTCAACTCAATCAACTTCGTAAAGTTTCTCAGATTATTCTGCAGTTTAATGAGCTTTACACTGCTGCTGTAAACCAAGTCATTAAGCTGCGTGGCGCGAATGAGAAGTTGATTATGACATCGCCAATCCCACAATAAGGCGTGCCGGGCGTGGTAGTTTAGTCGTATTGTCGCGATCTTCATATCCCGCGTTCGCAGCGGTGAGGACCACCACGGCAGGCTGATATTATTATGCAGCCCCGTAATCGTGTTGGTGGATTCGCGAATCTTCCGAATGGCATCGGCGATGATCTCCATCTCCGTGCTCAACATCGGCCCGGGCGGGGGGGAAGGGGACATGGAAGGACTCCGCATCTGCTCGCGCGGAATCGGCGGCTCCGTGGCGTAGTCGGTAACGGATTTCTCCAGGGCGTAGACCTCGTCGGCGGCCGCGGTGCGCGCGCGCTGGAGCTGGAGCCGCCACTCCAAACTCTCCTTCCCGTTCCCGCCCCCGCCAAAGAGAAAGGAATCCTGCCCGGATCGATTTCCCCGCGCCGGGTTCTGCGCGAGCTGCTCCAGACATCGTTGATAATCCTCCTCAATGCGGGATGCGATGAACGAGGGGAGGCAGCCATCCCGGGAGTGGTCCAAATCCCCGAGAAGCCGGTGCAGAGTTTGGCTCATGCGGTGGAGGGTGCGCTCGATGCCCTGGGAGGCGGGCCCGACGCCCTCTTTGAGCGCGGACGGCGGTATTCGCCCCCCGCTTCCTCGCGGGTGGTTCGGCTGGGATGATTGGGCTGGGCCGCGGGTGCGCGTGGGGGGGTCGAGGGGGTTGCCATAATCCCCTTCCGGGGGTTCCCCACCAGGGGTGTTCGACATCATGGCAAAGATGCGCTTCAACTTCGCCCGCCACGCCTCGACGGCGTCCGGCACCGACGTCGCTGAGGTGGTGGACACCACCGGCGGCAACGCTGTAATCGACACAGCATCCGCTAGAGGGGTTTTGCTTCTCATAAAACCCGCTAAACTGGTTCTAAGGATTGAAAATCTTACGGCGTTTGTTGTTAATGAGTCACTTTTTTTTTAAGAAAGGGGGTGAGGG